GACGGCCCCGAAGCGCCCCAAGAGGGCCCCAAGTCGGCCCAGAAAGGCCCCCAAAACGGCTCCCGACGGCGTCAGACGTGCCAGGAACTCACCAAGATGGCCGAAGTTGGCTCAAAGCTGGCCCAAGACCCAAGACGGCCCAGGAGGCCCCCAAGAAGGCCCTCAGGAAGGCCAGAAGAGGCCAAAAACATTGATATTCCTAAGGTAGTTGGCGGATTTTGACATTTGCTTCTTTTCGGCCTTCCGACGGCCCGAGACGGCCCAAGAGCCCCCAAAGATCGCCGAAAGATCGCCCAAGAGGCCTCCAATATGGCCCCAGAACGGCCCAAGAGGGCCCCAAGACAGCCCCAAGAGGCCCCCAAGACGGCACAGGAAGCATTTGAGACGCCCAAGGTGGCCTCCAAGACGGCCCTGGAGCATTCCAAGAGGGCCCCAAGTCGGCCCGTAGAGGCCCCCAAACGGCTTCCGACGGCGTCAGACGGACCAGGAGCCCACCAAGACGGCCGAACATGGCCCTAAGATGGCCCAAAACGGCCCAAGAGGCCTCCAAGAGGGCCTCCAGGAAGGCCCGAAAAGGCCAAACTCATTGAATTGTTATGGGTTTTGAAGGATTGTGGCATTGCTTTGTTTCTGCCTTCCGACGGCCCGAGACGGCCCAAGTGCCCACAAAGATCGCCCAAGAGGCCCAAGACAAGGCCCCAAGAGGCCCCCAAGACGGCCCAAGAGGTCTCCAAGACGCTCAAGATAGCCTCCAAGACGGCCCAAGGGCCCTCCAAGACGTCCTCCAAGAAGGCCCGAAAGGGTCAGAATGGCCTCCAGACGGCCAGGATGACCTTCAAGATGCCCACGTGTTCCCCGAAGGCTTTCCAAACCGATTCGGGGAACATATGGTCCGATATCTTGGCAGGCCTCTGGCCACAACCTTCGGCCACATAGGCGCTTCCAAAAAAGGCAGGGGGCGGCGGTGATTCGCCGTAGGCGTCTTCGATATATATATATATATATATATATATATATATATATATATATATTATATATATATATATATACACACACGTGTGTATATATCCGCGGATCCGGCGTGTGAGTTTCAAGGAGTCTCAGCTACAGCCTCGAGGCTGAGCCTCAGCCTCTGGGGGGGTTGCCGGGGTGGCTCTGCCGGGGAAGGGGGGATGGGGGGGGGTGGTGCGAGTTTCTGGCGGATGCGGGGCGCTGCTTTTACAGAAGGCTCTAATCTCGAGGATGCGCTGGAAGAGTGGCCGCGGCCGCAAAAGTCTCTGAGGACGGTCTACGAAAGTCCCGAGACCCCGAAGGATCGCCCGAACACGCCCAAGATGGCCCCAAGACGGCCCAAGAGCCTTCCACGACGTCTGAAGAGGCCTCCAAGAGGCCTCCCACGATGGCCCCCAGAGGCAAAAATCGTTGATTCCCATTGGTTTTTTTCAATGTTTTTGGGGTTGTCGCTTTTTTCGGCTTTCCGACGCTCCAAGACGGCCCAAGAGGCCCCCAAGACCGCTCGAAGACGGCCCAGGAGGCCCCCAAGACGGCCCAACAGGCCCCCAAGACGGCCCCAAGAGGACCCAAAAGAGGGACGAAAAGCGGAAAAAATCTAGCCTTCCAGCCCACGAGGCCCCCAGGAGGCCCCAAGAGCCTCCAAGAGGGCCTCCGAAAGCCCCCAAGAAGCCCCCACGACGCCCTGACAGGCTCCTAAGATGGCTCAAAAAATGCACCAAGAGGGCGTCCTTGCGCCGATAGGCTCGCCTCCACCGCTCGCACCACATCGTCCAGGCCACATGTTTCGTAACACGACTCCGTGCACGACGTATCGTGAGTCCCACCAGCCTTCTGGGCGTCGGTGGTTTAGAGCGTTTCCTCTTCCACCCCTCCTTCTTCCCCTTCGGGGAGGGGTTTACCCCTCCCCCTACCCCCTCCCCACTGACCTGGACAGGGGGGGGCCGCGGGTAGTTAGAGCGTCCAAGACGGCCCAACACGGCTCCAAGAGGGCCTCAGGGAGCTCAAGATGACCTCCAAGATGGCTCAAGATAGCGCAAGATGCCTCAAGATGGTCCCCATGATGTTCCAAGACGCTCCAAGAACTCCCCAAGACGGTTCCAAGTGCCCACAAGAGCATCATTAGATGCATCCAAGAGGCCAAAATGCTTCAAAACCCTAGGGAAAATCAATGTTTTGGTGTTCTCACTTTTTCGCTTGCGATGCACATCCGACGCGTCAAGATGGCTCCAAGATGGCTCAAGATAGCTCCAAGAGGGGCCCAAGAGAGCCTCAGGATGGCTCCAAGAGCGGCCACGAGCGCTCCAAGAGCGATCCAAGAGGGGTCCAGGAAGCGATTTTTGGAGCTCCTGGGGGGGGGCTGTAATTAGGGAACCCCACTTCCTTGGCCGATGTCCTCCAAAATTGCTCCCAGAGACCCCCCAGAGGCCCCAAGATGGCCCCAAAGGCCCCAAGAGGCCCCCAGGAGGCCCCAAAGAGGATCCCGAACGGCCCACAGAGGCCCCCCCGAGGCACCCAAGACGCCGAAAAGCCCCTCAGGACGACCCTCTACTCGCCTGGGCGTCGTTTCTGGACGGGCTGGTGGGGATACGCGAAGCGTCTAGAATTTCCAAGAAGTGATCGGCATCCTGTATGGAATTTTCATGTCATTATTATTTCCCGTCCCCACGGTGACTGCAAGCACCCCGCCGTTGATAGAACCACTGTTGCGAGATGGCTCTATTGACCCAACTGCATTCCTACGCCCTTTCGAAGGTAACCCGAGAAGTTTGTGCGTTTGAGTGTGCGCCCATAATGTCTGCGTCTGGAGAATAACACCGAGCGACCCGGATCGGCGGCACTGGCCGAAGGCCACTACAATATATATATATATATATATATATATATATATACATGTTATGTGTATATCTATATATACACACATCTACATGTATGTATGCATGCATGTGTCCAGATGTACGGCATTCCAGAGAGGGTCTCGCCTTCGAGGATCGACGGAGTTGACATCTCCACCCTGGCGGAAGGCGGAAGGGCGGACGGGGTCTGGCACGTCCCCATCCCGCGCCTGTTGCTTCACTTTGTTACGGTGGAGGTCTTAGATAAGGATGCATTCGATAAGGAACCCAGGGTCTCGCGACCGATGGGCGGCCAGACGTGGGCCACCCACCTCGCCTTGAAACAATAAGAGATGCGGCAGGGTCTGGGCCCCAGGAAGACGTTCCTTATCTGATACACGGGGGCGCGACGTCAGGACCTTTGGGGGCCATCGGCTCCACAGCATTGGTGGCCTGGCCTGCCCTTCGGGCTCGTGGTGTCCGACAGAGACAGGGCGATGGCCGGAGACCGCCCACCCCGCCGCGTCAAACCCGTTGCCAAAGCGACGTCCAGGAAGCGCCTTCGAAGTAGTCAGCCGTGTTGCGGTTGGAAAGCACCCTGTCCAATCGTGAAGCAGCGGCGAGCGAGGGGGGGGAACGAGGAGGAGAAGGCCTTCTCAGAAGGCGGCGGGACTTCTCAGAAGCACTCGCGCCTTCTGAGAAGCTTTCTGTGTCTTCGGGGAAGGCTTAGAAAACTTCTCGGACGGCCCGGGGACATCCGAGTCTTCTCAGAAGGCCCGCCCCTTCTCACTTCCCCCCCGCGCTCGCCGCCGAGTGAACACGACCACGTCGACTGGTACGCTGTCTCTGGCCGATCCACCTCCATGTATCTGCCGGGGGCTGCCACATGCTCCACCCAATGTGCTTCCTCCAATGCGCTTGATTGTCCCGTAGCCCGTGCCCCTTCCAGCACAATTCGGTTCGTACATATGGTAACCCAGTTGAGGTCCCCCATGTAACAATCCACAAGACATTGGGTTTGCTGTCCATTGCCTGGCGCCGCCTGCGTTCAAATCATCGCCCGTGCTTTTGCTGCACAGGATCCTGCGCAGCTCAACTCCGTCGGTGAGCACTGCGTCGTTACAGGCCGCAGCCAATACCCAAACCGTCAAATGCTTACCAGCCACCGCTGCACACGAAGGGCCCCACGTGCATTAAAGACTGGCACGCATCGTCTTCCCCACGGTGTCTACCAGAAGGGGGCCAGCATTGGAAATCATAGGGCTTCCAACTGTGACACTTCCACAAATCATCATCTCTCTACTCCTGCCTGCATGGTCTCTCCCATCTCGGAACCCACAATCCTTGAGCACATATTGCGCGTATCTAAATGCGGCTCTGGCAAGCAGGGCGCAATCTGAGGGCAACGGGTCCTGTACCCCAAGGCCTTCCCCCCGGACCAACTTTTCATGCTGAGTCGTTTAGTTGACGGTTCCAGGGCCGGGGGAGGGCCCTAGGATCTTGAAAACGGCACCCGTTGCTTCATGGCGACTGATCATGCACGTCGCACTGCTGGCCGTAACTATGGGAGGGAACAGTAGGGGGGGACTGGCTGCTCAGAAGGAGAACATGCTGAGCTGACATCGGCGATACATACAGGCCACCGACAGCCTAACCGCACGTTCCTGGGCGGGGTGGGCTATATCTGGACCCTATCGCGATCGGGGGTCGACGCGGCCTCCCCTGCCCCTGATGTTGCCCTTGAGTCGCGTTGCTGGCCACATCCCACGCCATACGCTTCTACATCGTGACGATACCACAGACGCTGCCAACCCTCAGCAACGATTCTTGACCAACGTCCAAGGAGCACCAGCACAACAAAGTTTACTCGGCTGCCTCGCATCTTACAGGAAGGGGACGGGGGAAGTGAAGAAAGGAGCGAGATTGGGAAGCGGACGGGAAGGCAGGACGGTAAGGAACACGGAGCAGGCGGAGCTCACAATGCTCAGTGCGACCGCTGCGCTTCTCGCAATCAGACTCCTGACGAACGACCCAGTGCCTCGAAAACTCGAGCATGGAAGAACCGCTGATCGTAGCTCCTCTCGGTCTGGCTCGTCACACGACCAATCGGGGTAGGGAGAAGGCATCACTAATGTTTGCAAGTCGCTTGCGGTCCTCGAGCAGGAGGAGCATCTGCCTGAACTGCGAAAAGACCACCACGGAGTCCCCCTCGCAGCACGCGATCTCTTCCAGCACCGCGTCAACCTCTGATAGGAGGACAAGGAAGACGACGAGGAGGAGGAGCAGGAGGAAGAAGAGGAGGAGGAGGCAGGGGAATAAGAGGAGGAGGAGCAGGAGGAGGAGGGGGAGGAGGAGGAGGAGGAGGGGGGGGGGGTGAGGAGGAAGGGTAGGAGGGAGATGAGGAATGATGAGAGGAAGAAAAGGGGGAATGGGGAGTTCGCTGCACGGCACACAAAGGTGAGTGCAACGAAAACACCCTTCGCATGGTGTCAGAATGCGATTTTGGTTGACGGTTGCGCGCGACGCTGGGGCAGGAGGAGCAACGCGTGAAGCAGCGGCACAAGCAACAAGAGGACGGGAACGACGCACGGAAAGCCAACGCCCGCAAGGGACACATGCCTGACCACGCCTACACCCACATCTGTCTCTGCCAAATATGAGCCTACCAGACAGGCCAGAAGGCAGCGTCAGGACTCACGACGACCCTGGCGGGGGAGGAAGCCAGAAGGCCAGGCGCCAGGACGGCGCATCCGCGAACAAAAGAAAAGAGGGAAAAAGGAACAAGCGATCGCGGCCGAGGGGCCAACAATCATGCCATCCCTCCCTCCTACTTTTCCCTCTCTCCTGACAGCCCTCCTCCAACCCTCCCTCGTCGGCGGTCGTCGTCGTCGTCGTCGTCGTCGTCGTCGTCGTCGTCGTCGTCGTCGTCGTCGTCGTCGTCGTCGTCGTCGTCGTCGTTGTCGGCGTCGTCGTCGTCGTCGTCGTCGTCGTCGGCGTCGTCGTCGGCGTCGTCGTCGTCGTCGTCGTCGTCGTCGTCGTCGTCGTTGTCAGTGCTCGTCGTCGTCGTCACAATTGTCGAAGTCGTCGTCGTCGTCGGCGTCGTCGTCGTCGTCGTCGTCGTCGCTGTCGGCGTCGTCGTCGCCGCTGACCTTTCCGCCCTCGAGCGGTGGACCCGCCCTGGCGCGCTGGGCGCCCCCGCCGTTCGGCGGCCTCAGGGCGTGCACAGGCCGGGCGTGCGCAGGCCGCGCTCGGCACGGGCGCGCTCTGTGGAACTCCGCGGGCCTCCAGCATCGCGGCTGCCAGCCCGCAGTGCTGGAACAGGCGCTGCCGGCCATACCGCGCTCGTATCTGCGCCGAGGCAACCAGAGGTGCCGGCGGTGCTGGCACAGATGGCGCGCCGCGCGGGCTGGGCATGCCCACAGATGGGCCGGTGGGATGTGCAGATGTGCCCAACCTCCCTCGCGCTCAGTTTGTCCCTCCTGAGAGTGGTGCTGCTGCTGCCGTTGCGCGGCGGCGGGTGCTGATCCTGGACGCAATCGTCCGGCGACACCGATCTGGAACCGGCCCCAGGTGCTAGGCTTCGACGTGGTCTCCGTCGCTAAGCCCCTGCACTCCATCCACGTGCTGCTCGAGGCGCTTGGACGGTTCCGCACGGGGGCCCCTCGTGCTGCTCCAAGCGGCGCTGCTGGCGCCCAGCCTCCTGGGCACCTCCGTGCACCTGAGGCTGGCGCCGCACAGGGCGATGGCAGTCCTGGTGAGCATGGCTACGTCGGTCCTTCCGGGGTCGTTCCAGGTCTGGGAGTCGACCATGGCGCTGCAGCGCTCGTGGACTTCACGATGGGCCGCTGACTGGGCAGGCCGCGGTGCCGCCTCGCGGGGCGATCTCCGGCGCGGAGGCGGCAAGGCAGGCCGACTGCCAGGCGCTGGCCGACCGCCGTGCGGCGGAGCAGGAGGCGGCTCGGCAGCAGCTGCGAAGGCGGTCGAACGCCGCGCCCCTGAGGCCCTGCGGGCTAACTCCGAGGCCGAGGATGCCGCCCCAACTGACTACAGATGATGGCCGTCTGGCGCATTTGACTCCAGCACCGAGGTGGCTCTGGTGCGCGAGGCTACAGCCAAAAATGCGATAAAGAAAATCATCACTTAAGAAAACTGGGCCAGCTTTCCGGAAATCTCTTAAGGCAAACCTGGCCAAGGTATTGTGCGAGCGCTGGAGGGGCGAACGCGCTCAAGAAACCGAGCCAGCTTCCCGGCAAGCTGGCTAAGAAACGCTGTCCCAGCTTTTCGGGAGGAGGTTTCTTAATTAGGTGCTCGACTGTATATGGCCCGAGGGGCTGAATTGCTTTCGAGAGCTGGCGACGGCCGAGCTGAAGGCCGCAGGTGTTTCAGCCGAGGAGTCAGCCGCAGGGATCGAACGCTTTCGCGCGGAGCTCCCAGCTGAGCCTGGCAGCGGCCCACAGGGCAAGCAAGGCAGTCGCATTCCATACTGACTCCAGCACCGAGGTGGCTCTGGCGCGCGAGGCTACATGGTCCGAGAGGATGGATCGCTTTCGACGGCTGGCGATGGCCGAGGCGAAAGCCGCAAGCAGGCGTTCCGGCCGAGGAGGCAGCCGCAGGGATCGAGCGCTTTCTCGCGGGGCTCCCGGCTGAGCCTGGCAGCGGCCCATACAGGAGGAGGCCTGACCTAAGAAACGATACATAAGACACGAAGCCCCTTTTTTTCCAGCGACCACCAGGGAGGCTCGCCGCCAAAAAGGTAGCGGAACGCGTGCAAACAAAAGGAACGACCGAGCCCCTTTTGAACAGTAAGAGTTCCGTATTCAAGCCGGATCCTGTAGGGCAGGCAAGGCGGTCGTATTCCATGTTTCCCTTTGTGTCAGACGGCTGTGCGGATTCAAGGTCCGTTGTGCTTCGGCAGTGGGTTGTTCGTCACACTCCCAGTGGATGGTGCTCTGTTCGGCTTCCAGTCCAGTGGAAAGGCCCACTTTGCATGTCACATTGGTTGTCGTTGACATTTCCGTTGGGGCGCTGGTTTGCCGCAATTATTCCAGAGGAGCGTCTTGCGAGATTCTGTTGCGGGTCTTCGACCATGTCCAGTGGATAATTCGCACAGCGCATTCTCGGATTGGTCACATGTTCTCACATGCTGTTGTCTCGATTGGCTTCGCTGGCTTCCGCCAGTCCGCCCCTCCTGCCCCTGTCCCTGCCCGGCGGGCCCGGTGCCCCATGGCAAACTGCGGGCTCAAGGCGGGGTGCTCCCCTCCTCCTCCTCCTCCTCCTCCTCCTCCTCCTCCTCCTCCTCCTCCTCCTCCATCCTCGCTTCGAGGGGCTGCGGTCGGAACAGAAGTTGCGTTCGCAGCCCTGTCTACTAGGCCCTGTGATTCCGCCGACCGTATGCCGTGTCCAGCAAGCCAGCCAGCCCTCTCCTTCTGCCACACCCCCTTTCCCATCCCTCCTCCCCCTTCGCCCGTCCCTTTCCCCTCCTCCTCTCCCACCCCATCTTCGCTCCACCCACTCCCCCCCTCTTCCACCTCCGCCCCGCCCTCTCCTCCCCCTCCCCTGCCCCAAAATAGTGCATGATGGCATCCGAGAGGCCCCAAGACGACTCCGATACTAAGACTCGAGCTAGACAGTGCTTTTCGTTTTCTTTTCGTTATCCTCGTTCTGTCTCCGTTTCACATTTGCTGCAAAACGAAATCAGAACGAACACGGCCAACGAACTTGCTAAAACACCGTTTCGCTCGGGCCCTGCCCAATATACCAACGAGAGACCCCCGACATGTCTCCGAGAGGTCCCCAAATACCTCCCCTGCCCCACCGCGCCCATGCTGGAAACCTTGAACTCAAACATGTCGCCATCGCCTGGGCGCGCATTTTGTCATGCCGCCGGCTCCCGCTGGCCTTCCGTCGGCTTCCGCAGGCGGAGGCAGCCTCTCTTTACTTCCGGCGACCTTCCGCCACTCTTCCGCCGAGGAAGAGATTCAGGAGGGAAAGAAACACACAGACACAATCGTCGATTCCCCAGAAAATATGGGAAAATATGGGAAGTGGGGGGAAGACAGAAACCAAGAAAATATAGGAAAATATGGGGAATCCTCTTAATTATGTGTATTTATTTGTGTGTCCTGGGGCCCCTTCAGAGATGCCGACTGCTTCGATCCTCGAGGGCGAGGCCCGCCTCGTACCTCCGAGAGGCCCCATCTGTCCCCCTGCAGCCCCCCTGGCCGTTCCCTGCAGCCCCCTGGCCGTTTCCTCCGTCGCCGTCGCCGTCGCCGCCGCCACCGCTGCCGCCGCCGCCGCCGCCGCCGCCGCCGCCGCCGCCGCCGCCGCCGCCGCCGCCGTCGTCGTCGTCGTCGTCGTCGTCGTCGTCGTCGTCGTCGTCGTCGTCGTCGTCGTCGTCGTCGTCGTCGTCGTCGTCGTCGTCGTCGTCCTGCAGCCCACTGGCCGTTCCCTCTCGCGCCGCGCCTTGGCGAGCACCCCCGGCGCCGCGGGCGCCGCCGGCTCCTCCGCCCAGGGCACCACCTGTGGGGGGCAGTTCGGCAGCACCCCGTGGGCCCCCTCGCCTGCAGCCTCCTGCCGAGCATGGCGCACCCTGGAGGGGGGGAGTGTAGAGGGCAGGACTGGTCGGCATCGAATCGGCAACTCGGATCGAATCAAAATAATCTATAGTTATCGGATGGGGCTGCATCGGCACATCATCGACATCGAATCGGATCGGCTACGCTAGGATGCTTCTCAACGCCGTGCAAGCACCGGGCCACATCGGATCAACGGAACATCGAGATCGAATCGGACATCCTTGGCATGGCGCGCCTTGGAGCGGGGAGTGGGGAGGATGCTAGAAGAAAACAAATACATGTCATATTTCGGATGTCCGCGCGGATTTCTTGAATCGGCGCTGGGCACCCATCCCTGGCGCACAGAACTTGCCCAGGGCGGCTTCGGAGGCGCCGCTAGGGGGGCCAGCGCCGATCCAAGACATCCGCGCGGACATCCGATAACTTTCGCTTGTGCAAGTCTTTGTTCTTCGAGATGCGGTTAGGAGCTTTTTATTCAGCGTGAGAAGAAGCTGGGACTGGGACGAAACCGGACCAGGATAAATCAGACCTGTGAGATCCAGCGGTTCCTTTTTTCCCATCACCAGCAAGGATGATTGATTGACCCTGACCTCCGAGCCACAGCATGAGAAGAAGCAGCGAATGGTGGCCGCCAACTCGCACGTGCACACGAGCAGAGTATTCAGATGGGCCTTGAAACAAAGCGGCACGAGAGATACCTCAAAACGACAGGAAGAGAAGGGGGAAGAAAGAAGAAGAGAGAGAGAGAGAGAGAGAGGACAAACAAAGAAAATATTCACTGCGTGGAGATCCCCATCTGTGTATCTATTTGCATGGACCTTTCCGCTGTGAGTGCCAATGCGCAAGAGACTTTGAGTATAAACGGGTCTGAGTATTGATAGGCTGGGAGTGAGTTTCAATAGTACGAGTGAGTCTGGGCGCATGAGCCTAAGGCCTCCTGGGGCCTCCCCGCAAACCGGGGAGGCGGCCTCCTGAAACCTCCTGGGGCTTCCTGGTGCCTCCTGGAGCCTCTTGGGGCCTCCTGGGGCCTCTTGGGGTTTCCTTTGACCTCCTGAAGCCTCCTGGGCCTCGTGTGGCCTCCTGGGGCCTCCTGGGGCCTCCCGGAGCCTCCTGGGGCCTCCTGGGGAGGATTCGTGCCCCAGGGGAAGCCCAATCTATAGAAACAGACGTATATAAAGCACTGCGGATTGGAGCCACAGGAGAAGGGCAATCTATAGGAACACATGGAATCACCAATGACTCGTGCCCCAGGGGAGGCCCAATCTTCAGGAACAAACGTCAAACACGTAGGATTGGATATGCATGAGAAAGACAAACTATAGAAACACACGTAAAACACCAAGGACTAGTGCTCCAGGGGAGGCACGATCTATAGGAGCATACGCACAACACATGGGATTGGAGCCACTCCTGTGGCCTTCAGGGGCCTCCTGCTCCTGGGGCATCTTGGGGCATCCTGGTGCCTTCCCGGTCCTCCTCTGTCCTCCGCGGGCCTCCTGTGGCCTCCTGTGTCCTCCTGGAGCCTCCTGATGCCTTCTGGAGCTTCCTGGGGCCTCCTGGAACATCTTGGGGCATCCTGTGGCCTCTTGAATCTTCCTGTGGTCTCCCGATGCCTCCTGGGACCTCCTGTTGCCTCCTGGGGCCTCCTGGAGCCTGCTGGAGCCTCCTGTGGCATCCTGGGAGGATCCGTGCCCACGAGTCTGGACACCAAAACAAGCAAACCGCTCGAGACATCCTCAAATTCTGGCCCCACGCATGCGGACACCGGCACCGCCACTGGGGCCTTCGGTGGGCACCCAAACAGGCAAACCGCCTGAGACATCCCCACAATCTATGCGTGAATCCTGGAGTGTCCTGACCCCTGCCGCCCCCCCCCCCCTCTGGGAGTGCTGGAACCAGCGCCTCGCCTGAGACATCCTCGGAAACGGCTCCGAAAGCAAGAGATGTTGGGCACCGAAACAGGCAAACCGCCTGAGACATCCCCACAATCTGGGCGCGAATCCTGGATTGTCCTGACCCCTGCCGCCTCATTTGCGAGAGCTGAAACCAGCGCCTCGCCTGAGACATCCTCAGAAACGGCTCCGAAAGCAAGAGATGTTGTGCACCGAAACAGGCAAGCAGCCTGAGACATCCCCAAAGTCGGGGCGCGAATCCTGGAATGTCCCCACCCCTGGCGCCCCACCTCCTTGGGAGTGCTGAAGCGAGCGCCTCGCCTGAGACACCCTCAGAAACGGTTCCGAAAACAAGAGATGTGGAGCACCGAAACAAGCAAATCGCCTGAGGCATCCCCACAGTCTGGGCGCGAATCCTGGAGTGTCCTGACCCCTGCCGCCCCCACTTGGGAGTGCTGAAACCAGCGCCTCGCCTGAGACATCCTCAGAAACTGTTCCGAAAGCCAAAGATGTTGGGCACCGAAACAGGCAAATCGCCTGAGACATCCTCACAATCTGGGCGCGAATGCAAGAGTGTCCTGACCCTTGGCGCCCCCCTTTGGAGTGCTGAAACCAGCGCCTCGCCTGAGACATCTTCACAACGTGTGTGTGAGTGAGCGCGGAAGTGGTGTAACTGATTCTGAGTGAGGATGAGCGAATCAGGAGTATGAGTGAGTCTTAGTGTGAGTGAGTCTGAGTGTGAGTGAGTCTGGGTGTGAAACATCTTCACAACGTGCGTTTGAGTCTGAGCGCGGAAGTGGTGTGGCTGAGTCTGAGTGAGGAAGAGCGAGGCAGAGTATGAGTAAGTCTTAGTGTGAGTGAGTCTGCATGTGAGTGATCCCGAGCATGAGAAACCTGAGTATCAGGAATCTAAGAGCGAGTGCATCTGAGTATGAGTGAGTCTGAGTATGAGTGAGTCTACATGGGAGTCAGTCAGAGAATAATGACCTGAGAGTGGGAGGTGTGTTCTCGTTCTCCGCGCGGTAAAAGTAGTAACAATAACCCCATCCTTAGGATATGGGGGATCAAGGAAGGAAGCCAGAGAGAAAGAGAACACATAATGAGAGAGAGAGGACAAGTCTGAGATCCAGCGGTTCTGGTGGACGGGCGCCGCCGCTGGTCCAGAGCGTTCCGGAACGCTCTGAGAACGATCCGGAGCGCTCTGGAATGATTCATCCCGCCAGTCGTGTGTCGCCGTGGCGGCCCTGGCGACACGCTCTGTCCTGCAAGCAGATAACGTATCGCTCCGCTCCGCGGGAAGGGAGTCTCGGAAAGCCTTGGGACGTCGACGCTTGGGGACCGGGACGCGGTCAGCGTGTCGCGCCGAAGCGTGGTAGGCCAGAACTGGCGGAGCGACACGCTGAGCAAAAGTTCCTGAAGGGAGGAGGCAGGGGGAACGGGGCCTGGCACCCCCCAGCTGAGAAGGAATTTGGCAACCGAGCCACGACGACAATGCAGCGCAGGCCGCGCAGGACATCTGTCGAGTCGCGCGCATGCTGCGTCCAAAGGTGCGACCGGCGTGCGCGGGACGCGACCCCTGCCCGCGCTCTCGAGGTACGGAGGCCGGTAACGAGAGAATTGCGGGGGGACGAAGAGAGGAGCAATGAAGAGTCTCGCCTTCACGCTCTCTCCCTTCCACCCTGCATGCAGCCTCTCGCCGAGCGCACTGGTCACCTTTCAAGCAGCTCTCCCGCCTTCCAGGTCCCCCTTCTTGACAATCACCCCTGCGAGCTCGAATGCCTCGCGCCACATCAGAGCTGCCCCACTCTTCGTTGAAGGATCGCCCTCGGTGAAACGAAAGCCTTCCCAGGAGCAATGGGTGCTTCGAAACGCCTGGGCCCCGTGGAAGATGGGAGGATTACCCTGCGGCCAGCTGGCGAGGAGGACATAGGAGGAGGGAGTGGAGGGAGGAGGAGGAGGAAGATGAGGAGGAGGGAGGAGGATGAGGAGGAGGGTCAAGTGGGAGGGAGGTGGTGGTGAGAAGGAAGGAGGGGTAGAGAAAGAAAGGGAGGAGCGAGACGGACGAAAGAGAAAAGTGGGTGCGGGGATGATTCAGACCGCGAGGGCCGCGGGGCGAGGGTGCCGTGGACGCTTCAAACCGCCGAACCTCACCTCCCCTGGCGGCCGCTCGCAAGATGGGGCCGCCTGAGTGGGGGGTGGGGGGCCGCGTGGTGCTGCCAGGAAGCGTTTCGGCCCGCCCCGCCTCGACTGGCGCCCGCTTGCACAGCGGGCAGTTGTTGTGCCGGGGGAGCCACGCGCGGATGCACTCGCCGTGGAAGGCGTGGCCGCATCTGGTGATCACGGGATCCCCCTCGGCAGATACAAAGAGAGGGTGAGGAGCATCAAGTTACTTTCATATTTGCTACCATATGTTCTGGACTGCAATGGCGTCATCTGTCAGGGAAACCGCAAGCATTACACAATATGGTGTGCTGTCGTACACATGTTTCACGTCGCAGCGCGGCAGAGGCAGTCCGCGCGAGCGCTCAGGCGGCCCGGACACAACGGAAGGCGCAAACTGACAAGCGGCAGGGAGGGGAAGACAGGCGAAAGCGGCCGCGAGGGAGGAGGGAGGGAGGGGAGGGCATTCACGTGGCGCGGCGAGGTGCGTCGCCGTGGAGCGGCCGGGGCGGCCAGCAAGCGCGGACCCCTTGGCAGCGGGCGAGGGGCGACGTCACGGCCACACCCAGAGGCTGAAGCTGGGGCTGCAGTGCACGAAGCGGAAGAAGCACAGTACCGAGATAGAGAGCGAGTGGCCGCGCCAACGACGCCCCGTTCCAGCGGGGGGGACGGGTCCCGCCAGTAGCCTGCCCGTGGGTAAGCGGTGCAGCAAGTGGTGGGGGCGCAGTGGCGCACACACCAAGCAAGGACCAGGGCGAACGGCGGTGACCCGTGACCGGCCTGAGGGGGGCGGTACCGAGGCAAACGACTAGGCCCCCCCACTGTCGTACACACGCTCTCTTTATGCACTTACTTTTTGCTTCTACTTCCGCCCTCACCGCCGCCTGTCCCGGAAACCACGTCCTCCCTGCTGTTATCATGTTTTAGACTTGGGTGGCTTGGAGAAGAGCTCGTTCGCGTGTTGGGTGGTGAAATTCGCCGTGCTGTGGTTCGCCTTCGTGTTCATGGTGTGGTTGGGCAATGGCGTCCGCTGTCTTGTTAACTCTCGCGGCACCCAGCGGCACCAGTCGGCACCTGGTCGGCGGGGCTGCACGCATCCTGTCCGCCAGCACTCATACAGGGCGCGCTGGCTGGAAAGCACTCAGGCGCCGAGGACGCTGGCTGCCCCCGACGCATCAGTCATAATCGTTTCATGCGATGGGGTCAAGGAACTCTGAACAGAAAAACCGTGCCATCTCTTGGGAGGCAGATCTTTACTTCCGCTGGCTTCCGCCACTGGAGCCGCCTCCATTTTGCTTCCGCCGCCTTTCGCCGAGGAAGAGATGCCAACCTCTCGATCCCTCGAAGGCGAGGCCTTTTCTGGAACCCGCCATGTGGCGCGTGGCGCCACTGCAGCTCCTCCACGAGGAGGAAGCGGCTGCTGGACGCCAAGCGGCTACTTCCCGTTGGATTGCCATTCGGGGACGTCCTGGGCCCCCCCGCGAGTAACAAGTCTAAAGAGGCCCAGGGGGACACTGATAAATCGTCACGCATTCGGAGGTTCCTTGCATGTTTGCAATAAGTCCAGGATGCTCATCTCCTCCTTTTCCACATCCACTAAACCTATAGTTTCTTGTTGTTTGCTCCTTCGCGAGATGGCAAGGATGCTCCTCTTTTCCTTTCCCGTAACCCCATCAATCCATTAAGGAACCCCCGGGGTTATCATTAGCACAGCACCGTAATTGAATAAATATGGGGGGCGGTTTTCGCCGAACAATATGGTTAGCACCGCGCAAATGAAACGAAAATGAATGATTCCCGCGCCCAGGCTCGGGTGGCATCCCAATTGGAATTGTAATAAGAGTAAGAGTGGTATACGAGTAAAAATACTCAGAATAATAATAAGGGTAAAGGTAGGAATACTAATAATACGAGTAATAATAACAATACTAATACACTTAACTATACTAATCTCAATCGCAACCCGAATGATACTAACACGAGTTAAACATCAACATACTAATACGCAGCATATTGATACTACTAATAATACTAAACGTACTAACACTACTGAACATACGAATAGGAACGCGAATACTAATACTACTAAGAATATGAATAACGAGACAAGTAAGAGTGAGCATACACATACTACGAACAATTGTAATAATACGAGTAAGCAATCATGGTAATCATAATCACAACCCGAATCATAATCAAACTGGTAATACTAAGAATAAGATTCTTGCTTATAATTATACTACGATTAAGAATACCACTAATAACCAAATTAATAATGCGAATTACCCTGGCGACGTACAGAACCCTTGCGAAATGCGGGGCACAATCACATCATGATTGATACAACGGGGCGATGCCGTAACATGGACGCATGTGATTTTGCGAGCAGCAATCGGAAGGCCCGCAGGCCCCCGATCAAGACATTAGGGCGTCGCAGTGGTTACTAACGCAACCCCCCAAGGGCGGCGAGGTCTCGCTCAGGTCCCCGCGGTGCCTCAGTGCGCAGGACCCACCAGCAGCCCTCGAAAGTGGCGACAGTGTCGCAGATTGCAGCCCCCAAGGACGGCGAGGTCTCGCTCAAGTCTCCGTGGTGCTTCGGCCCGCTGGACCCACCAGCAGCCCTCAAAAGTGGCGACAGCGTCGCAGATCGCAGCCCCCCCAGGGACGGCGAGGTCTCGCTCAGATCCCCGCGGTGCCTCACCCCGCTGGACCAGCAGCAGCCCTTGAAAGTGGCGACAGCGTCGCAGATCGCAGCCCCACAGGGGCGGCGAGGTCTCGCTCAGATCCCCGCGGTGCCTCACTCCGCTGGACCCACCAGCAGCCCTCGAAAGCGGCGACAGTGTCGCAGATCAGATGGCAGCCCCACAGGGACGGCGAGGTCTCGCTCAGATCCCCGCGGTGCCTCAGTCCGCAAGACCCACCAGCAGCCCTCGAAAGTGGCGACAGTGTCGCAGATCGCAGCCCCCAAGGACGGCGAGGTCTCGCTCAAGTCTCCGTGGTGCCTCAGCCCGCTGGACCCACCAGCAGCCCTCAAATGTGGCGACAGCGTCGCAGATCGCAGCCCCCCAGGGACGGCGAGGTCTCGCTCAGATCCCCGCGGTGCCTCACCCCGCTGGACCAGCAGCAGCCCTTGAAAGTGGCGACAGCGTCGCAGATCGCAGCCCCACAGGGGCGGCGAGGTCTCGCTCGGATCCCCGCGGTGCCTCACTCCGCTGGACCCACCAGCTGCCCTCGAAAGCGGCGACAGTGTCGTCAGGTTTGAGTGCATGAAAGGCCCGGCGCCACAGGACGCGAAGGTTATCGGCGTCAGATGCCCCCGCGGTTTGCACGATATCACGGATAGATACCTACACAACCAAAATTTGGGTAGTACTACGCAGGGAAGATCGGCAGAACACCCAAATAGTTAGGTGAGGTGGGTATGAGGAGAGGGTGGAGAGGGGAAAAGAGGTTTAAAAGTAGGCTGGGAAAATACTGATAAATCGAAATGCGACAGTGTCGCAGATCGAACACCCCTAGACGGCGAGTCTAGACTCTTATAACAAGGTGGCACGAACTCAAAGACCACCAGCACCCTCGAAAGTGGCGACAGCGTCGGCAATCGCAGCCCCCCCAAAGGGAGAAACGGCGGACGACCCCTATCCCCGCGGTGCCCCACACTTCCGCTGGACCCACCAGCAGCCCTCGAAAGTGGCGACAGTGTCGCAGATCGCAGCCCCCCAGGGACGGCGAGGTCTCGCTCAGATCCCCGCGGTGCCTCGCCCCGCTGGACACACCAGCAGCCCTCGAAAGTGGCGACAACGTCGCAGATCGCAGCCCCCCAGGGACGGCGAGGTCTCGCTCAGATCCCCGCGGCGCCTCACTCCGCTGGACCCACCAGCAGCCCTCGAAAGTAGCGACAGCGTCGCAGATCGCAGCCCCCCAAGGACGGCGAGGTTTCGCTCAGATCCCCACGGTGCCTCAGTGCGCTGGACCCACCAGCAGCCCTCGAAAGTGGCGACAATGTCGCAGATCGCAGCCAGGGACGGCGAGGTCTATCTCAGACCCCCGCGGCGCCTCAGTCCACAAGACCCACCAGCAGCCCTCGAAAGTGGCGACGGTTTCGCAGATCGCAGCCCCCCAGGCACGGCGAGGTCTACCTCAGATCCTCGCGGTGCCTCACTCCGTTGGACCCACCAGCAGCCCTCGAAAGTGGCGACGGTTTCGCAGATCGCAGCCCCCCAAGGATGGCGAGGTCCGCACACAACAAGAGGAGACAAGAGGGGAGCGGGACACGGGAGGCGGGAGGAGGAGAAGTGGAGACCGCATTGCTCTATTCAAAACGAATACCCAACCAAGGAGGGTTGGGACTAAGGATAACACATTTCTTTATTATCTTCATCATATTTGTCCTATACGATGTGTATCACCACCCCTGTTGAAACATTGTTTTCCCCGGCCGTCGTGTGGGGTAGTGCATCCGATGATATCGCCCCCGCCACGCACGGCGCGTTATCTTAGCACCGCACCCGCACAACATAATTACGACAGCTTGCCCAAAACAGACAAGAAGTACAATACGACCAATACTACTAATGTGACTAAGAGTAAGATTAATAATCATAGCAATAATAAGAATACGAACACAAGTAATGGTAATACTAAGGATTAAATATACGAGCACAGACGGGCTCCCCTGCTTCTATCCTCCCTCCCTCCTTTTTCTCATGTTCTTCATCATCCTTGTCCTATACAGTTCTTATTACCACCCCGATTGAAACATTGTTTTTCCCGGCCGTCGTGTGGGGTGGTGCATCAGAGGATATCGCCCCCGCCACGCACGGCGCGTTATCTTAGCACCCGCGCCGCCAAACTTATTCGCCCCCCATCGTAGGCACGGACGGTTCCTTTTCAAAGCTGGGCTCTCCCTTGCGTGGGACTTAATGTTGTTATTGTTGGTGTTGGCGGTGTTGTTGGTGTTTTTGATGTTGATGTTGTTGTTGGTGTTGCTGTTAGGTGTTTTTACCTAACAGCGAAGACTGATAGGTTTCTAGTAGTGTCAAAAGAGAGCATCATGACTCCCCAGGGCGTCTGGGCGGGATCCGGACGGGATCCGGGGGAATCCGGGGGAATCCGGGGACTCCTTTTTTAGCCAACAGTATACATACTTAACAACGCACATCTGGTCTTTCCGAGCCCAAGAACTCCATT